GATGCTATTGAGATACTACTAATTTTCAGTATTAGTTTATAAAATGATCAATCATCTTTTAATTAATTTTTAATCTTTACAATGTAGTAATAATAATCTTATAATGTAGTGATAAAATGAAATTTTTATCATTACAAATAATATAATAAAAATAAGAATATTTTTCATACTTGTTGTATATTGTATTGAATCTTAGAATTTATTTTTAAATGAATTTTTATTTAATTTAAATATTGAATAAAAATAAAATTTTCTTTTAATCTTCATTGTTTATATTAAATATAAATTAAATTATGATGATTTAAGTTCAAATCAGTAAATATACATTGGATGGATTGTATGATTTTATGAATATTTAAAGGAATTAAAGATATAAAAAGTCATGATATCAGAAACGATTAAAAACAACTAGTTTGTTAAAATTACAATATACTCAATTTCAATGATCTCTGCGAGATCTGTGTATTTATTTGTACAGTGTCGTGCGCAATAAAACCAGTACAGTCTTGAGCAAAGGTAGGAAGTTGATGATTAATGTCACGGTCAGCGAGGTTCTGACTCTTGACAAGTGTACATAGGAAAACCATGATTTTTTAAATAACAAAGTGAGTATTATTTGTGAAGAACTTTATTCATAATATATATCAAGATGGTGGAACCAATTTTTGACTATCAGTTTCGTCTAATACTTATTGGTGACAGTACAGTCGGAAAAAGTTCATTGCTGAAATATTTTACCGATGGGAAGTTCGCAGAGGTACGTAGTGACTCTAACCATACTATCAACATTGATGATAAAAAATAATTTTAAAAAATAATGAAGCTATCGCATTTAGTTTTTTCATAATTTTTGATATATTAATTTTAAGTCGTAATTGATATTAAATTCGGTGTTGAGATAAATTTTATATTGTTGGAATATTTCCAATTTGTGGATCTAATAATATTTACGTATTATATTGAAGTAATATAATTTATGTATATTATTATTTTTAAAATGATAAACTTAAAATAATGCAAAAATATTATGATATAATGTTATTTATACATTTTTTGTAATAGTGAATAGTGAATTTAATTTCAATATCAAATTATATATATTAATAATAGGTTAATAAAGAAATAAATATTAACTAATTAATAAAAGTATATAATTTGATTAAAAATATATATCTTTTGTTTTTATGTAAAGCTATATAATTAAAAATATTACATTTATATTTAGTAAATATAGAAAATGTATAATAATATTTTGTTTTAGCTTTCAGATCCAACAGTAGGAGTAGATTTTTTTGCTAGATTAATTGAAGTAAAAGATGGAACAAGAATAAAATTACAATTATGGGATACTGCTGGCCAAGAAAGATTTAGGTATGTTACTTTTTTTTTTCAAATATTTAATAATTATTAAGAAAATAGAGAGAAATATAGATAATTAGAAATATAATCATTAAAATCATAATTAAATAGGTCAATTACAAAATCCTACTATAGAAACTCTGTTGGAGCCTTGCTTGTATATGATGTTTGTAATAGAGCAAGTTTTGAACATATTCCTGAATGGATGATGGATGCTCGTAGACATATTGAACCACATCGTCCTGTATTTGCATTAGTAGGTTGTAAATTAGATTTAGTTACCAATGGAAGTAGACGAGAAGTTTCAAAGGAAGAAGCAAGAGCTTTTGCTGATGAACATGGAGTACATCACATTGAAACCAGTGCAAAAACTGGAGTTAATGTTGAAGAGGCATTTCGAACAGTTACTCAAGAAGTTTATAATAGAATACAGACTGGTGAATACAAGGTAGAAGATGGTTGGGATGGAATAAAGACTGGATTTGCTAGACCTGGTGGTTTAGATTTTAATCTAGTCGAAGCAGAACCTGCAAAGAGTTCTTGTTGTTAAGTTAAATTTTAATTTGTTATAAAGAATAATAATATTTAGAATGCAGTGTTATTATTGTATATGTAATAGAATTTATGTTTCTTAAACTTTTTTGTGAATTATTCTTGACATTAAAAGTAATTAAAATTTTTTTAATAATTTTATTTGATAAAAGAAGAGGAAAATTCTATTTTTTAAAAATTATATTTCACTGCATTCTTATTTTAGAAGAAAAATTTATAATAAATTTAAAAAATGTGTAAATCTTCATTTTTGTACATAGCTTGTATAAACAAAATGATTATATATCTCTGAAACACATAGACATTAAACTAGGACTGTTTTCTATCTTATTTAAGATCCAAAGTATTTAAGTATAATAAAAATTCATATTCATAATATTAATTTAGCTATAGTATTTTTATATATTTTATTGTAAATTAATGATTTTGTTTTATGAAGCAAATAACGGCTGTGCTTTTTTGTCAAAATCATCATTCAAATGTTATAGCAAAATTTTTAGAAGATATAAAACTACTATTTATTTATAATAAATACAGTATAATTTAAAAAAAGTTTTTAAAATATAAATATTTGTAGATTGTGTTTTATGTGAAAATGAAATTTTAAAAATTAATGAAATATTTATATCAATTATATTAATCCATTATTTCTTGAGCTATATTTTTTTCTGTTAATATCACAATTTGTGATAATATCATATAAAAAACCAAATTAATATATATATATATATATAT